GTTCATAATACACTTTACTATTGCTCTATAAAAAAAGTCCCAATAGTTGGTAAACACAAAAGCATAAAATCAGATTAGCAGTAGCTGCATTGAGCTTGAAAGACTAATTTTTGCCCAACTGTTCTCCCTTGGCCACCAGTACTGTTGATTTGCCAGGCAGTCCATCAGCTGTCTTCTTCTGGGCATTCAGCTTTGATTTTTGGATTTAAAGAAAACCAGGCCAAATGAGTTCAATAACCACGGTATTCAGAATTAGAACAAATGGTTGATGATAGGTCTGTGTCGACACTACAGACCTACTGGACCATAAAAATAGACACACTGTCTGTTTGTTTAACATAGTGTGAAACATTTTTTTTGTTGTTGCTTTGTTGGATAGTTCAGCTTTGCAAAAAAGCATGCTCAACATTTTCACATCACTTTAATCACTTGTCTTGCATAGTGTCCAACCCCAGTGATTAGCTGTGATCGCAGCAATCAGTTTGAAAGCATCAACTTGGATCAGTGGTTTTATTTGGCTAGAGCAACAAACTGACTGACCCTGGAGCACTCTCAGTTAAAAAGAACAGGAAAAAAATACTTTTGCAGTTTTACGTTTAGCTATAAAAAATAATACTAAGTGGGGTTCATGATACAAACACCACAGAATACTCTCAAATGCCCAGTGTGGTGGAACTAATACTTTTATGTTTAAGCAGGTAATTCATGACATCCTTTAATGACCTAGGTTTTCATGACATGATGTTCATCTGCAGATAGAACGATTAAAGTCAGAACAAGATTTGCTAACAACAGTCATTCTTAGATATCACTTGTTTATCTTTGTGTTTTCCGTTGACCTTGTATCAAATCTTGCTAAGATGACATAATGGTGTTTGTTAATACATATATGAGGCTTCTCGAGACACAGTGAGTAGTGTGGACAGTGACAGAGATAAGCAGAGACACAGAGACAGGCCAGGTTGTTCTCTGTGTTTCCTGTTGTTGCAATAAAACTCAGCTGATCATCTCACGGAGTACCTTCATTCTTGGACCACGTATTTCTGTCTTTGTTAAATAAATATTGCCATAACACCAAGTAACAAATATTAAACCTGGCTTAATCAGAACAGTAAAGTGAAGCTGAACTTTTTGAACTCTATCATACGGGTCACTGAGGTCAACAGAGTCATAAGGAGGACTTAGGATTTTGAATATTTGTTACCCTGCTCATGTCTTTCTGAATTATGTCTACTTCCTTCTCCCACACTCATGCTTTTTCTCATTAAAAACATTTAACACCCCCTCCCTGAATGTCCTTTTTTTTTCCTTTGTCCCACACTTCTCATTGCTTACTTTCCCATAAGCAAAGTGCTTCGAACTGTATTAAACCACAAGCTGCACTGATTAGAGCCAGATGACAAGCATGGCTCCTAAACATTTTTTTTATAAACCTATGAATTAAAGTGTAAACCCAGTGTAGTAAATCAGTTGTGTGTGTCTACCAGACTTCTGTCATTTTGTGGGTGGAAGTCAAAGATCAGGACTGATCCGGTATGGAACTGAAATGTAATCATATAGAAGTAAATCAAAATCCCAGCTTGGATACGACTGGAGTCATCTGGGTGACTTGTGGTTTGACCATCATAAAATGACGGTTTCTGATCATCCACTGATCTTCTAGCCGAGAAAGATGTAATATTTGTTGATAAATCACATGACTCCAATATTGTCTGGGACCATAAACAGCTCACTCCCATGAGTTTTTGGCTTGTTGCTCCAATAGTTGTTGTGCTCTGAAAAGAAACTTTTTGGTTAATGAGCCAGCATTGCTGCTATTTATGATTGGGGTGTTATCACTTTTTTTATTATTTTCTCAGTAGACTGGCGAAGGTACATAGATTTTTGATTACTTTAGTTAATATTCACCATAAGTTTAAACACAGATAAATATGCTCTGTGAGTTTGTCATGCCACAAAGGAATGTTTTTAATCATCCACACAGTGAAAAATAAACCATTAAAACTGCCACCAAGTGTGTTAGGATTAGATTTCTAAAAAAGAAAGAAAGAAAGAAAGAAAGAAAACATCTGAGACTGAGTTCACATAAAAACCCTGTGTGTCACACCTAAGACCTGCTATTTGAAAAAATAAAGGTAAGTTTGTCTCAGCCAAACCAAAGCATTTAGAAGTAAGGCACACACACATTTTACTAATTTTCCAGCATCACTAACACATCATTTGACCAGTGTTCTGCTAAGAGTGTACCAACAGATGTTTGTCTAATTGCATGCAACATGAAGATGCTTGATTAGTTAAAGAAGCTTTTTTTAGGAATCCCAGCTGCTCACAGTAAGCCTTTACAAAAATGAAAGGAAAATGTAGTTATTCGTGTTCGTTACCAGAATGTGTGCTTAACCATATGAAGAGTGTGCAAATGCATGGAAGAATTATTAAAGAGAAACCCATACAAAAACCAAGAGCGCTCTTGCTGAAGTCTGGTATTCAATGAGTCACCGAGAATTCAGGCCGCAATGAGGAAATGCATTAAGTTTTAACAGAAGCTTCAGGGCATGGCTCCACCTATTTGATTACATCATCAGTGGGGGGTCCCTGTCATTCTCTAGAAGCCATGTACCTCAGACATTAAAAAACTACCCTAATGAAGAATTAAAAGTTCAGTTATGTGTTGGATTTATATAT